ATATTAACCCCAACCCTCAAATTTCTTTATATTCTTTTGATTATTTTTAAATTTGCAAAAAATGCTCACAATCTGAGACCAAACCAGACGCCCTAACGTCAAAATAATAACAAATTCAGACAATAAAAATCAAAAAAAGAAAAAAGTTTTTTGGCCATGCTAAATGGCACTGGCCAGATAATCCTCGTTATGAAGTACATTATCCCCGCTCGATATGACAAAATTTAATATATATCCTCTTACAAATTGTGTTATAGCCGGTTTTGGGGGGAGAGAAAAATTGTTTTGAAGCCGGCTTCAAATATGATCAGTTTTGGGAGTGAGAGAGTGTAGAGAATAGAGAGAGTGGAGAGGAGAAAGAGTAGGGAGAAGTGGGGGAGTGGAGAGATAGGGAGAGAAAGTTAGAGTAAAGTAAAAAATAAGGTAGAATTGGTCGTAAACAATAAAAAAAGTAGTTATGAGAAGAAGAAATGTTGCGTTTTAGTCTAATAATGTCGCAAAAAATGTCAGCCTGTCCCAGCTTGAATCTTAGCCTTAGCCTTAGCTTGAACCTCAACCTCTACCTCAGCTTCAACTTCAAACTCAACCTCAGCTTCAAACCCAGCCACAAACCCTGGGTTTCAAATTCTGCCTCAGCTCCAGCCTCAAATTTATGTAGCCTCAACCTTTGGATCAGCCTAACGTTACCTCAGCCAACAATAACTTTAAATTTCCTAAAACTGCTTTTAAACTTACACTATATCTTCACGCTTACCTTTGTAAAAGTCTAACCTATCGCACGCTTAACTTCGCCTTACATCTATCTTAAGACTTTGTAGTAACCCCTATAGCAAAATCACAAACAAATTTTATCATAAGCAACCCCCCCCCCGTCCCCGAAAAATTATTACAAAAAAAAGATAATCAGCCCTACCCCTCCGAATAAGAAAATCATCTTACCCTCCCTTCAGCCCTATCGGTAAAGTTCTGACATAAAAATCATCAAGCCAACACGCCCTAACCCAATTTCCCCATGGCTAACATAATATCATAACTTGCACACATACCTTCACTCAAGCATAAGTCATACGATACGGCCGGGGTAATTTGGTGGCGGAGAGCGCGCGGCAGGTCAATTTGATTAAAAGGCGCGGCCCTCGGCCAACTTGTGGCCGCTGAAATTGTTGGAAGCAATTGAAAGTCAAACCGCCGCTCTTGAAGGCCATAGTCAAATTGAATTCGGATATGAGGGTTTTGTCAAAATAAGGAGATTGCCTCGCCTAAGGGAGAGTTTTAAATTGTTGTGGCAAAGGCTAGCCAATTGTAGGGTCAAAGATTGGGGCTTGGTCAGTTGTTGGATAAATTTAACTTGTTTTTGATAAAAATGACTCTACCTTACCCTACCTTAACTTTAGACTTCTTAAAATTAGCCCTAGCCCTAGTCCAGAGCCCTAACCCAGAGCCCTAGCGCAAAGCCCTAGCCCAAAGCCCTAGCCCAAAGCCCTAGCCCAAGCCCAAGCCCAAGCCCAAAGCCCTAGCCCAAAGCCCTAGCCCAAAGCCCTAACCCAGAGCCCTAGCGCAAAGCCCTAGCCCAAAGCCCTAGCCCAAAGCCCTAGCCCAAGCCCAAGCCCAAGCCCAAGCCCAAAGCCCTAGCCCAAAGCCCTAGCCCAAAGCCCTAGCCCAAAGCCCTAGCCCAAAGCCCTAGCCCAAAGCCCTAGCCCAAAGCCCTGAGCTCTGAGCCTTCAACCTTCAGCTCTAGCCCAGTACTTTAGCCTACGGCTTTAACTTATAGCCCTGACCCTAGCTCCAGCTCCAACCAAGCCAAGCCGAGCCAAGCCAAGCCGCCAAACTAAGCCCTGCCGGGTTATTATAAGCCAATCCCAGCGCCTCAGCTTTAGTCTAACCCTAGCCATAGAAAAGCTAAGCCAAGACAAGCCAAGCTACGACAATCCAAGCCCAGTTAAGCCAATCCAAGAGCCTCAACTTCAACCTTAGCCCAGCCCTAGCCATAGAAAAGATAAGAGAAGACAAGAACAAACAAGCCAAGCTAAGCCGAGCCGAGCTAAGCCGAACCAAGCCAGCAGGCCAAATTTCTAGTCAGGTCAAATCCCTAACCGTACTCATAGCCATAGTCAAAACTCTAGACCTAGCTCTAGTCCTATCCAAACCTAGCCCTCTTATAGATTTACTTACACATTTGCCATACCATACCGTCTATCAAAGCGTAGTAAAAATCATTTATAGTCCAGTAAACCTAAACCTCTCCTCCCCCTCCCCCTCCCCCCTCCCAAAATTGCTTGCTTTACTGTTTGAAACAGCTGACAACCCCATAGCTATTAAATGTATTTTTAGTATTCAACTCAGTAAAGTTAAGCAGTTAATCGTTCAAATATACGAAATTAGATTAACACAGACACACTTTTCGTGTTTATTCGCACTAAAAGCAACTATAATATAAATTGGTTTATGAAAAGTAAAAAAAATTATTTTTTATTTAATTTTAATAAAAAATGGCATTTCAAACACTGAAAAATGTATAAAATTAAGCTAATTACTAAGATTTCAATGTATAAGCCTAAAATGTCATAATACGAAAAAATGTGTCATGATGGCATATTTTTTAAAAATTGTAAAAAATTGCCTAAAATGACCTTAAAAATCAAAAAAAGTGGCATCTAAACATAAATTTTTAAGTTTTTTTTAAAGTTTCATTATAAACTCAAAAAATTCCGTCATGATGACATAATTTTTAGAAAATTAAAAAATTGGCTTAACTTACTTAGATTAGTCCAGAAATGCCTTAAAAACCATAAATTTCAATTTAGACCCAAAATACTGTATGTCATAATGACACCTTTTCTAGACCCCATTAACCCCCCCCCGCCTCCTAAAATAAAAAAATACTCAAAAAATTAAAATTAAGATAAATTTCAACATGAAATGCATGTAAAATTGAAATTCAACGCATTTCTGATAAGTTTCTACTCTTTTTCACAAAGTATCAACTTCAATTCGACTACTTTGCACTTTAATTGGCCCATTAACTTGGGCTTTGAATTTTAAAAGCGTTTTGCTAGCCAGGTCCGGATTTGGACTTTTTTAAAGAAAAAAAGCGAGATCCCAATGCTATGTACCTTATATATATTATGTTTTAGATAGGTATGTAAAAAATGACATTAAAATTTAAAATTTTATGATTTTTCGGAGAATTTTAGGTATAATTTAAGTAAAAATGGTAACTTTAAAATACTGAAATATTTAAACTTGTAAAATACGTCCGAATAGGTCCACATTGAGAAAGTGTTATAACTAGTACAGCACAGTACCATAAAGCCAACTTTCAAAAATTTTCAAAAAATTTTAAAAAATGTACTAGCCGTCTTTCTCTTTCCTATCCTACCCTAGCTTGCCATACCCTACCCTACCTCTTCAATAGTAATTATCATTCCTAACACCCTCCCATAGAACCTAGCCTTATCCCCCCCCCCTTCTTTATTAAAACAAGCCATACCAGCCACACGCCGAAAAAGTCCATCATAAAAACCAACCTTATCGCCTACCTCCCCCCCCCCTTCACCCTGCCATCAGAACATGCCTTCTCACTTTATTCGCTTCCTTATCAAAACAAGCCTTAACACCCCCACCCTATATCTAAACTAGCCCTATCATCACACCCTGTCCCCATCACAACTAGCCTTCTCCTCTCAATCACACCCTCTCCCTCATCAAAATCAACCTTATCATCACCCCCCCCCCCCTCCCCCTCCCCTTCTGAAAACTACCCTCACTACCCCCAGCCAGCCGGCTGGCTTAATGCCAGACAAAATCCAAATTTCAAAAAATAATTTTTTAAACTAGTGCAGTGCAAGCCCTGAGGGGTTTCATGCTGTGGCGCCTTTAAATGGTTAAAAGTAAAAGAAAAGCACCGGAAACCTCGACAAAATTCGGCACTCACAAAGGTCACAGAGAGAGATGACTACGTATGTTCAGTGACTACGTATGCCCTTTCACATTACACATGTTTTTTTAATTTTTTAGTTTGAAATTACGTTGGTGTGACAGAGTTTTAAGTTAGGTTATACGACCCTACCCTACCCTACCCTTTCGGCCAGATCTGAGCAAAATTTATATCGGGCCGGACTTAACATTTAAGCCCAGTCCGTTCCCTATGTCAAATTCTGCCCTAAAAAAGCTTTTTTCTACCTACGAATGACTTTAAGGCAAGCCCATTTGTAAGTCTTGACCGGCCTGGCTTCAAGGCCGAGCTTAAGCACACGTAAGGCAGACCCAGCGAAGCCGTTTTTTCAGTCTGAACTCTAGACTCGACCCAGGTTCGAGACCTAACTTTTAAGCCGGCTCTTTCAACTTTAGCTTGAGACTGGCTCGTTTCAAATTTAGCCCGAGGTTGGCCCGGCGGTTTAGTCTTTAGTTCAATGTGGGCCAGGCTCGTTGCAGCGTTGCCTTAAAGCCAGCTTGACCTAGGCTCGTTTCTCATCACTATCTCCAATCCAACGTTTTAAAATTTAAAAAATTAAAAACCAAGAACCAGCCCTTTTAGACCCCCAAACCCTCAAACATACTGTGCAGTACGCAACATTCGGCAGCATTAGTACGTCGGGATTTTTGATTAAAATGGAACGCAAAAAAAACAAAGAAAAATCGCGAAATTGAATGCATTTTTAAGAGTTTTGGTGTCAATTCTGTTTGTCGTCACAAATTCGTGGACCTGCCAAAACTTTTTTTATTATTTTCGGGATGATTGGTTTCGCCACAATAATAGTGTCATATTAATTTGGGAGTAATGTCATATTACTTGGTTTTGGAATTATTTTAAAATTTTTTTGAAATTTTGAAAGTTTAGATTTTTTTTTAAATTTTGGAATTTAAAAAATTTTTTTTGAAATTTTTGAAATTTTGAAAATTTCAAATTTTCAAATTTTTCATGAAATTTCAAAATTTAAAAAAACTTTTTTTTAAATTTTTAAATTTTAAAATTCAATTTGTAGATCAACAACAAAGTGTTAAATCACCACAACCACGATTAGTACTAGGTACAACCACCAAAACGCACGGATATTCATATGACCATTTCTGATTTGAGGATGTTGTTCTCGCCATCGCTCGCGCCGCTTGATTCGTGTGTCTTCGTAACTGTCGTAGTTGAGGGCTGTTACCTGTAAAAAGCATTCTTTGATTTTAAAATATTGATTTATTAACATATAAAAATATTTTTTTAAAAAGTCTTGTCGTCAGATTCTATTGTGTTAAACAGTCAAAAACGACAAGACTCTTCTGGCAGCTTAGCGAATTTAAATTCCGGGTAGAGTAAGTAAGAGTGCGATAAAGTAAGTTAAGATAGGATAGAGTAAGTAAGTACGGTGAAATAAGTAAGGGCCCGGTAGGGTAAGCAAAGGTATGTTAGAATAAGTATGGTTACGGTTGAGTAAGTAAGAGTACGGTAGAATATGTCAAGATACGGTAGGGTAAGTAAAGGTACGGTAGCGTAAGTAAGATTACGGTAGAATAAGTAAGGGTAGGGTAGGGTAGAATAAGTAAGGGTAGGGTAAGGTAGGGTAGGGTAGGGTAGGGTAGGGTAGGGTAGGGTAGGGTAGGGTAGGGTAGGGTAGGGTAGGGTTGAGTAGTAAAACTGTTTTCTATGCCATTTTTAATTGAAAAAAGCTCTAAAAATGCAAAAAAAAGTAAAAAATATGAACTTACGTGATCCAAAATAACCACAAATAGAGTAACGAGGTTCAACAAGTATTGAGCATCAACAGCAACCATTCTCTTCACAATTGTAGTCGTATCTTGTAAGGTTTCATGTGTTCAGCATGGTAAATACTATATGATTTCGAACTCTGCTTGCAGAAAATAGGACGATAACAAAGTCTTTATTGCTAAAAATTTTAAATTAAAAAAAAGTTCTAAGAATTAAATAAAAAAGTTTCTTTGTCAAATTATTAACGTTTGCACGTGGAAAAACGACAAAACTTTTTTAATCGCGATTATATAAATAGAAAGTAATCAAAAAGTCAAAAACTAATATTATCTTGCCCTATCATACCCCACCATACCCCACCCTACCCCGTTACAAATAAAAAGTTTTTAAAAATTTTAAAATATTCGATTTCGCGCGCAAAATTAAAATTAAAACCAAAAATTGTTTCAAAGAAGAGACATTTTTGAAAAGATTCTGAAGAGAAGAAGACGCAACCTGATATCCATGTTACTGACCACGAGAAGAGGTTAGGTATTATCTTGCCATTTAATGAAAATTGTCTATCGAAATTTCTTTGTTTACTCACCCTACTCTACCCTACCCTACCCTACCTTACCCTACCCTACCCTATCCTGCCCTACCCTACCCTACCCTACATTACCTTACCGTAACCTACCGTACCACGTTCCCGTCCCTCCTAAAAATTTTTTTCACCCGCCCCGAGCTTTACTTTTTTTTAAACCGTTCCCTTTTTCAATTTTAATCTTCCCCCGGCCAAGCCAAGCTGCTTTTTGATCCTTTTTTTCACATTTTTTACCCCTGCCTTCGTTGTTTCCTTCATATTTTTTATGGCCAGCTCAAGCATTCGAAAATGCCATTTCTAGCCATATTAACTGTTAACTAAAATTTACACTACTTATGTTCGTCCAATAATTGAAACATTTTTACCTATATATAGGCCATATCTTAAGAAAGATATAGATAAAATTGAAGGTTTTCAAAAGCTAGTAACGCGAACTATCTTCTTTCGATGTTCTTTATCCTGTCAAACCTACGTTAACAGAATAAAATTTTTGGACCTTCCTACTATTGTTTCTAGATTCGATAAGCTTGATCTTAAACTCTACAGTAATATTGTCAGTAATAAAACTATTGTATCTGAAGCTCTATTACCTAAATTCTCCCCTCTCGAACACGGGGACCTCAATCTAAGATCGTTGTTCCGTATTGTAGATCTGCAGTTAAAAGTAATTCCTACTTTGTTCGTATCTGTAAGCGTATTCGGAATCAGTCAGTCATCTGACTTCGTCAGTATTGTATTCTTACTATTTTTAATGTTTTTTATTTTTTCTTTTTACTGACGCAATAAATAAATAAAAAAATATTAATTAACGAAATTTTAAAATTTTAAAAATTAAAAAAAAAATAAAAATTATGCTAAAATACTAAAAAAATCTTTAAAAAAGTAAAACATATAAATGTGAAGTTATGAATAAAAATAATATCGGACACACGGCGTAATACTTGGAATATGAAAATGCTATTATTGCAGGTGTGGGATATGAGATTTGGGTGGGGATTAACAGCCTCCAAAAACATCATTAACACCAAACAAATTTACTTCTAGAAAACAAACGTTTGCAAGACTTTGGGAGTACAAAAACTAAAATAAAATTCTAAATAAATATAGCACAAAAAAATTTTTAAACTTAAAATTTAATATATATTAGGCGCCGACATAAAGAACCCGCCATACGTTTCCTGTAATGTCTTGTAAAAAATGGCAGTTTATTTATGTCGGCACCTAATAAGCTGTAATTTAAAGAAAATGTAACTTTTAACATAGACTTTGTATGTTATCTAACAAATATTATAGCTCCTAATTCTAAAATAAGTTTTGTATTATAGTACTATAAAATGTAGTTTAAACCTTTAAAATTTAAACAAAACAGTTAAAGAAAGTCCACATTTACATTTTTAAAAGCATGTATACCCCAAGTAAAGTATCTCATCCTCATGCCTAACACTACTCTACTTTACCCTACTTTATCCTACCCCACCTCACCCTACCTTATCCAACTCTACTCTACCCTACCTTTCCCTACTTTACCCTACCTAGACATGGAGCACAAGCCGAGCTATAAAAATGAAAAACAGGCCGGGCCTGAAAAGTAGGCCTGACCCAATTTCCATGCCTAACCTTAACCTACCAAAATGACTCAAATATATAATAAAAAATTTTTTACCATTTATAATTTTATTTTTAGTAGACCGCGCATGCCTGTAGTTAAAAAAATGAAAATTCAAAATTTAAAAATTTTTAAAAAATATTGCACTAGCCTTCAAAACACCCCCATTCCTTTTCAACTCAAAAAAGTCCTCAAAAACACTTGGCTACTATTCGAAATGTCAAAGGCAGTAAAATCTCATACAAGGCCGGCAAAAGTAAATAAATCGAGGAAACAAAAAATAACGGAACAATGAGACCTCAACAGCTTCTCGGCCCAAATATAATCCACAAAGCATTCTTAACCTGATTAACATTTGAACAAGTGCCGTTACATTCGGAAGGAAAAGGTGTTTAAGGCCCTACCCTGTTTTAGTTCTCTTACTTTGGCCTAAACATAGCCCTAGCCAAGGCAAAGCCGTAGCCAAGGCAAAGCTTTAGCCAAAGTACAGCCCTTACCAAGTCAAACGTCTAGCAATGGTAAGCCAAGGTTAAGCCCAAGCAAAGGCAAAAGCCTTGCCTTGCCTTGCCTTGACTTTGCCCTTGCCCTTCCTTGCTCTTTTTCTACCCTGCCCTTCTTCCTCTTCATCCTGTCTTCCCTTCAACCAAAATTACCCCGCCCGGCAATTTTTTTTATAAAAAAGCTCATCCTCCCTTAAATTAAAGTAAAACCCATGCCTGTTTACATGCTTTGTCAGTAAGACACATAATTTTTTCGCACCCAATTTCAAAGTTGTAGAATATTAAGACAAACGATCCCTAAGGGCATTCGGAAGGAGCCGTGTCCATTCTGCACAGCCAAAAAAAAGAAACGCTAAGTGAATTAAGAATCTGGATTCATAAAATTTTTTTTGAAAAATTTTCAAATTTTTTGCAATTTAAATTTTTAAAACTTTTTTAAAATTAAAAATAATGAGCTTACCTACCCTACCCTACCCCACATATTTTTAGACTACCCACCCTACAGTACCACATTTACTTCTACCCTGTCTTATATTAACCTTCTTTTCTGCCCTACCCACCTCTATCCTGCACTACGCTATATTCTATTCTGCCTTACCTAGACATAGAGAACAAGCTGTGCTTGAGCAAAATAAAACACGGGCCGGATCTCAAAAGTAAGCCTAGCCCGGCCCCTTTCCACGTAAAAAAACCGGGCTGGGAAGCCCTGAGCAAAATTTAAATCAAGTCGGGCTTAACACTCAGGCAAGGCCTATTCGCCAAGTCTTACCATTTTCTACTCTAATTTACCCCACCCTACCATCTTTACCCTTCTTTTCCTCCCTAACCCCCCCCCTCTGCAAAAAAACGTCATATAATTTATATAATACTGCCCCGCCCCTTCCCGCCTAAAGGTAAAATTTTGTTCTGTATCGTTTTATTTTTATCTACCCCCTCCCTGTCTAAACAAAAGTATAAAAATTACCCCCCTCCCACTCCATATCGTCCCCTCTCTTTAAACCAATAAAATAATCCAGAAAGAAATTTTTCGAAATTTGATAAATTGAGAAAACCGTTTCCTTACGGAAAAGAATACCACGATATATGACATTGCACATGATTTATGGCATTCATTCACGGCTGGTGAGGAAAATATAAAGTGTTGGGAATGGAATACTCTACTATATACCTCTATGTAATGCAAGATAAAATTTTCGCCGCTCCTTAAAGTTTTATCCCTTCTTCTAAAAATGCTACCCCTATCCTTATCCTAAGTTCTCCCCTTGCCCATATTCACAACTTAACGCCTACCCATACTCAAAGTTTTATTTCTGCCTCTACTCAACGTCCTACCTGTGTCCTTGATTAAAGTTTTACCCTTATCCTCGTCCCTACCCAAAATTACACCCCTGCCTCTTTTCAAAGATTTACCCCGGCCCTTATTAAAGTTTTAAACATCCCCTACTGAATGCTTTTTTTGCTCTACCCTACCTTTATTTAAAGTTTAAGCCCCTGCCCCTTTATTACCCAGATTTTCCCCCCCCCCCCCCTTCCATGCAGCTACCCAAATTTTGGCCTTTGTCTCTCTTTAAGGTTTTACTCCTGCTCATGCCAATACTTAAAATTTAACCCCTGCCCACCTTCTTACTTAAAAGATTTACCCCTTCCCTAATTCGAAGTTTTACTCCTGCCCCTTTCTATACCAAAAATCTTCCCCCCCCACCCTACTCAAAGTTATAGCTCTGCCTCTACTCACATTTTAACTCCTGACCCTACCCATACTTAAAAGACCCACTCCTGCCCAAACACAAAAGTTTACCCCATCCCCAACTCAAAATTCTACCCCTGCCTCTTTTCAAAGATTTATACCTGCCCCAACTCAAATCTTTACCCCTGCCCCTACCGATAGTCGCAGTTTTATCCTTGCCCCTCTTCAAAGTTTTAACACTGCCCAAACTCAAAATTTTTATATGAAAACCCGATCTCCCCTCCCCCTCCCAATAACAAGGTAAGATATATTAAGGTAAGCCCTTCTTAATTCTCATTCCTTTCTAAATCCACAAGCCCCATAATTACCCTGCCCATCTTCCCGTTTTTTGCGACTTGCCAAGAGCAATTACCCCGCCCGATGGGCATGCATAAAAGTGTGCAGATTTGCGCTTTTTTCATTTGACGATGAAGAGCCCTGCGGCGTTTCCTGAAGCCCATGCCTTCAGCACGTTGACACTCTCTTAATTTGATTCGACGCAAAGACAAAGATGGACTCTGACTTTTCACGAAATTGCCTCTGGGCATTTAATGAGCGGCCGTTGAGATAGGTTACATCATTCCGGCAAGGAGCTTTGCTTTGTCGGGATTAAGCATGGGGGGGGGGGGGGAGGGTGACAATATATTAAATTATATAAAGTAAATAAAGTGACATACAACATAAAAGAAACAATACCCTACCCTACGCGACCCAAACCTACCCTACCCCGCCCTACCTACCTAATATTTGCTTTCTTACTGCGCTATACCCTACCCACCCCTACCCTAACTTAATATTAGCCTAGACATGAGAAACGAGCCGGCCCGGCCCCATTTTTAAGGTCGACTCGTACCTCATGCCTATATTAGCTTACCCACCACACAATGCCCTACAGTACCACATTCACTCCTACCCGCCTAATAAATATTATTATAGTCTTCTTACTCTGACATACCCTACCCTATCCTGCCCTACGTTATATTACTCTACTCCACCTTGCTATGCTCTACCTGCCCTAACATGCCAAATATTACCCTACGTTCCCAACCGTAGCCAACAAAGCCCTACATCACCCTAACTTGCACTACCCTAATTTTCAAATAGATATTAATATTCACCTTCATAAAAATAAATCCGTTAAAAATAGCGTTAAAACCCCAATTTCCGTTTCGTATGTTATAAATAAGTGGGGTCTCTTTACTTATTTCAAAAAATTGTATTGGAAATAGTAATTAATCTAATTACATCTGCTTAAACACCGTTTAACCACTGCCAAATTAAGTGTAGGTCACACATTTTTCCAAGCCAAGCAAAAATGTTTTTTAGCCCAACAAATCCTTTAGCTTTTTGTTAACATTTTGTTTTACGACTGGACTAGCTACTTCTAATCATTTTTACAGAAAAAAATGTTTTTTGAAAAAAATCAACAGGGGGGTCCAAGTTCAGTTTTTTTTAATTTTTAAAAATTTTTTATAAACCTTCCAAGCTATAAAAAATAATTTCCCTCTTTCCACACCCTAATAATAACTCGTGAAACATGAAATTGTAAAAAAACAAAAAAATTTTTTAAAAATTTTTAAAAAATCAACAGGGGGGACCAAGCTCAACCTTTTTCAAAAATTTTTTAAAAATTTTTTTAAACAATAAAAATTTTAAAAATATCTCAAGTCATAAACTTCAATTTCCTATTCTCCCCCACCCGGATAACAACATTTGAAACATGAGATTGTAAAACAGTAAAAATTTTTAAAAAATTTTTGAAAAAAAAATCAACGGGGGGACCAAGTTCAATTTTTTTCAAAATTTTTTAAAAATTTTTTCAAAGAATAAAAATTTCAAAAATCTCCTAAAACATTATAGTAAATTCCCCACCTCCCACCCCCTAATAACAACTGTTGAAACATGGGATTGTAAAAGAATGTAAAAAACAGTAAAACGCCCCGAGGCAGCGACGAGGAGGACCCATTTAAGGCATAAGACGTCCCAAAAAGGACCGGAAACGGAAATCGCTGCATCGGTTTTACCTGTGGGCCCTCGGAATGAAATACTATTAACTAAAATCGATAACACATTGTTTTTAATGTCGCTGTTGACATTTTTGGAATTTCAAAATTTTTTTGAAATTTTGAAATTTTTCGAAATTTTAAAATTTTAGAATTTTATTTGAATGTAGGTTTGTTTTAGGCTTAAAAGCAATAAACGTAATAATATTTTTTAAAAAACAAAAATAAGCCTAAAACCCGATAAAATCATAGAAAAATTAACAATATAAAATAAACCAAAAATAAGCGTAAAAAACCTTAATAATAAGCCTAAAACAACCCTAAAATCCAAGAAAATCAAAGCAAAAATAAAAATATAAAAAACAAATCCGTTTGACATTCAGATAGCTAGATAGCTTCATTTGGCGTCGTCAGAAGTTCCGTCAAAAAAAGAACGGAAACTGTGAGGACGAGCAGTACGAACGCTACATTCGTACCCATTCTTGTTGATATATCAACAAAAAAGTCACACAAACAAAAAATGGCAAGAACTTTCTTTACAAAACAAAAAATGACAGACTTTCTTTAACAGTCAAAAAATAGCAACAACTTTCTTCACAATTTAAAAAACCTCAAGCTACAAAAACTACAAGAAATACCTTTTTAGATACCAAAATTTCTAAAAACAATACTCATTACGACGTTTGAAACGGCCGAAACAATGCTTTGTCATAAAAATGTTGTCAAAAAGAGGAATCACTCGCCGGCCCAATACCGCAATGTCAATCAAACAATCAAAAAACGTGGAGGTATATGCTGATCAATGTCTTTTTTAACTCAACATTACAATATTAGAACATTTATGGGTCCAAATCCAAAACTATCATACAAAAAAATGTAAAAATTATATTATACATGACAAAACAATAGTAAAATCAACCATTTTCTGATGTTTTAGTCCAAAAAAATATGTAAAAGCCATAGGTCAAGTAAAAACCATAATTTTTAATTCTACAAACTTCTTAACCAAGTAAACTTCGAAAATATCAAAAAATGTACTTAATTCATATACCTTTGACCTTCAAAGCATTTAAAAAACCATAGATACCACAAGCAAAGCACAACACAAGTTAATCACAACTCATACCTCAATGTTATACCTTATCATTTATTTAAAGTGAAATCACCAATGCAAGAATACAAAAGAAAGTCGTACAAAACAATAAAAGCTTCAAATACTTAGTCATTTACTAGAATCGATACGTTTAGCAGAATTGGCAGGGTGTGATGTGAATTAGGCGGCACGTTGATAGGTTCTTTTGGCCTTGACGCCTTCGCTTTCCATCTCCATGATGAGCTTGTCGCCTTCGACGTAGCGAACGAAACGACTGTCCTTGTCGCCGCTCTTGATCTTCTTCTGCACTTGGATCAATTTGCCGTTCTCGAAGGTGAAGGTGCTCTGAAATTGAGTTGTTTTAAATATAGACCAAGTGATTTTAGGCTTGTAAGCCTAAAAAAAGCTTAGTATAAGCATAAAGCAAAGATAATATCGCCTTCTTTAAGTTTTCGCTCCGATACGGTTATAACAACAAAAACCTTACTCTGTCCATTACCTAAACCAACAAAAACACAAAGAAAAACCGCCTTACCTTCATGACACGTCCATCTGCGGTGGTCTCGTCGAATTCCTTGCCCAAATCGAACTCGGTCATAACGTTCTTGAAGGTGGATTGGCTGTGCAACTTCCAGTGATCTCCCTCAACACTGATCTCCATCAATGGCTTGATGGTGGCGGCCATTTTACGGGTCAAGAGACCAACACCGACGGCCTTCATGTACTCGTCAAAGTTCTCGGACTCGACCAAGTTCCATTTGCCAACGAATGCTTGGGCCATTGTGTTCAACTTGACTTTCACTGAAGGCGAATAGGTTAGAGTGACCGACACAAGACGGGGAAACGCGAATGAAGCAATGCCAAACATCAACCGATTTGCGGTGAAATGAGGCAAAAAAGTTTAAAATTTGGATAAAATATTTCGAAATTTCAAAGCTCAGTAAGATTTCAAAATAATATTAACCTTTACATAAAAGTATGATTTTAAAATCAATTGCCCTCTACATCAACATACAAATAACCTAGTCTAACATATCTGTTGAATAAACCCCTCAAAAGTTTTAAATGACCATAAAAAAATTATAGAAAGTAAGATACCAAACTTCCAATAAAAATACTCAACAAAAAGGTCAAGAACCAAGTTATAAGTAAGTCAAGAACAACAAAAATTGCCCATTTAAAGCTCCCTAACGCTTATTTATAAATCATCATAAACAACATTATGAAAGAATGAATGAATCATTACAAAATAAGATAGCAATCACGTGTAACAAACACCTTATACAACAAGAAATTCCCAGTGATTCGTCACGTTATTATTTCAAATGGTGTCTTTGTAGTGATAGGCAAGAAATTTTATTTAAAAATCTTTCGAAGAAAAGATGAAAATAGTCGAAAAGAGGTCCCAAAATTGAAAAACTACAAAAACGTGAATAGAAAAAGTGAAAACTAGCCAAGAATCATCTTAAAATAACCTTAAACCACTCACAAAGGCAAGACTAAACTAAAACTAACCAATAATCAACTTAAATTGTACTGAAAAATTTCCAAAAGCAAGCCTAAACCAACAAAATGAAAACCAGATCGCTAATTTTAAAGTCACCTTTGCAAACCGACCATATTCTACAAAACAAACCTACAAACAGCCTTTAAAAACCTCTCCGATGCGAACGGAATATAAACAAAAACCGTTCGTTTTCACGTCCTTTTTGTAGGTCTTATCAATCACCGTTTTTTGATGTTTGATAAGGTGATAAACAGGCAAGTAGTAACTGCACAGAATTGCAAACAGATTAGTAAGTTTTGTCGAATACAAAACATAAAAAAACTTATCATTTTTGTTGAATACTGGACAACAATTCAGAATCAGGGACGTCGTTTGGGGGGTGGCAGGGGAGGGGTACCCCCCCTCCAGAGCCGATCCGAAAAAATTCCACAGGTAGGTAGGTACCTGTACGCGGAAAAACGAGCTGCTACCTGTGGACCAAAAAAAATTTTTCGACCTCCCCCCCCCCAGAAAAAAAACCGTAGCGACGTCCCTGATCAGAAGATAAGGTTTTTAACCCTTCTATGGTATAGTACGACAAATTAATAACTACTCCTTCAATACCTATCTATACAAAACATAAACCTTCTAGTAAGATAAGTCTTGCAACTTTGTGAGCACAATATTCACCTTCACTACACCTCACAAACACCCCTATCAAAAACACAGAACCTTTGACTTGTAACAATACACAACACACTGAAAACCATCTTAATTCGAAAAAGGCAAAGCAATTATCCCATCAAAATCACGGCGACTGACCCACACCAAAGCACAGAGAATAAACAAGGCCGACAGACCCGCATGGATCCCCCGCCCAGTCCCACATTCGCAATCAAGGCCAAAGTCCGCAAAACAACATTGTTTATCAACTTGGAAACATTGGCATCTGAAACGTGAATTATATTCACGAGGAAGGGACAAAACAAATGACTTCAGCATTTTTTGGACTAAAACAGTTGGGTTGAAGTCATTTATTTAAACCCATGTGTGAGGTCATTTCCAGTCATTCTTAATGAATTAGACAACAATCCAAACGCTTTAGAACGTCTTTTAAATAAAACGTAAATAAAGTGATATAAAAGTTTTCGAATAACTCCAAAAACCTCTATAAAGGTTTAAAATTTATATTACCCATGAGGCAACCCCTTTATTAATGTTTTTTGTTCATAAAACCGTATTTTAAACCCAGGAATGTCGTGATTTCATGGTGATAATATATTGACCATGTCAATGAGCACATCCTCAATGCAAAAAATAGCCAAAGTACAAAAAAATTTTTCTCGATATTACACTAGGCATGACCAATATATCAGCCAATAAGATCAAATTTATAATTTGTTCCTTGTGTTTCTAGATCAAAAAAGAACAAAAAATCTCACCAGAAGTCCTTCACATCTTATCATAATCTTCCAAACACAAAAGAAACAAAAAACAAACTTTGGTCTTGTTGATAATACTTAGTGTAATATCGCAACTCAATTTTGAACATTTCAGTTCATTTTTACATTAAAAAGATTGGTGTTGGTGTAATCAAGATATTTGTTAAAGAATAAGAACATTCCTGCATTTGTAATAGTCTTTATAACGTAAAACAAGAGTGAAGAAGGTTGACTCATGAATAATATAAATTTCAAAGTTTTAAAAGAGCCTCTGACTCATCTTTGCGCATGAATAACACTAAAACAGTTTGTTGCCAAAAGAAAAGCACATTACAAAGACTTTCTTCATGATGAAACAACTAAACCTACCCCCGAATTCAAATCTAAAACACCAAAAACCTGGGCTTTTTTCGAAAAAAAATTAGCGTTCTCTTTGCCCGTTCTGAAGGCCGTTCCTCCTCTCCCCAAACACGTGGCAAACAAAAAAACAAATCGAGATGGGGGACAGAGATGGGGCCGCAAAAGGCACAGCAAACGAGTGGGTATTGCGTTATCTTATGAACAAACACACAATAATATTGTAAATAACTTTTTTCAGTCCACTTTTGGAAGGGATCTTCCAGATAATAGGCAAAAGGATAATTCAACTGTTTAAATTTCAATATTAACCATGTTTAACAAAAAAACAAGGTCTATATTACCCAAATTTCACAAAAAAAAAGAAAGAATAGCCTTTTATCCAACAAAAAAAAGGCTAAACCAATATTGTAGCAGCCAAGAATAAGGATAAAGCCTTCTTAACCCTCTGCACGACACCCTGAACCAATATGAGCTGTGTCTTTAGAAGACCAGACCCTTTTTCATAAATATAAACAAAGAAATCAGTACAATTCGTTTCGACACACCTTGATATAGGGCTTCGCTTTGGCTACTACAATATTATTCCCATTTCATCTATAACAACTGAAAACGAAAACAATAGCCGCGGTTTGAAGAAACAAACCACAAGACTTGAAAACAACATTCTTCTGATGTTATTCAAGCTGTTTTTCAACAAAAGTATTATATATTACGACTTCATCAACAATAAAACAAGAAAAAACCTCAAAAGCTGGCTAAAACCTTCAATATCACCCCATTCCACGCCTAAAGTCCAAATAAAATTCAGTCCAAACATAAATATTAGCCAAAAAATAAAAACCAAGATTAAAAAACGGTCCAATCCTTAGCCAAAAACCCAACTTTCACCTCCAGTCCAGCCGTTTCTCCCTCTAAAACTCGAAGAAACCGGCGTTACCTATATTCTTGTGACCATAAATAAGACCTAAACTTGAAAGAAAAATTTTAAAAACAATATTTACCTGGAAGACCGCAAGATTGTTAAAAATACGACGAGAAAAACAAGGATTACGAAATCCAGGGAAGTGAATTTTCCGGAGGCCAAACAACACACCTACAAGCATTTGGTCTCGACACGAAATGTTGCGGCCGGCAAAAATATTGTTTGAATTGCAACTTTCTCAATTTTTCGGTCGATTTTTGATAAGGTTGACAAGAAGCGTGAGATTTAGCCGTTGGACAGCAATATAAATTTATTTTGTTGACATTTTATTTGGTATTTTATTTTTATCATGAAATTTATATTGTGTAAGGTATCTTTCAATAATGTTTGTCGTAAAATACGCGAAAATTTATTTGAAGTGAAAATCTGGTCTTAAAATCTAACGTAAATTAAAATCCATGCTGTTGAAACAATTTTACGCGTATTTAATATCAAATTTATATTCTTTTAGCCCTTCATTCAAGAATTTTCAACTCTAACATTGATATTATTATAGGTTCCTTGATCCAAATCTGGGTCAGTGTTCAAAGCTGTCTGAAGTTTTTTACCCTATATTTGTTCAAAGATTCCAATCAATTTTATCCGACTTAAAACTTGTTTTAAATCATGTTTGCATCGTAGTTGTTGGTTTGGAAGTGACAACTTTGATGATTCGCACGTTTTTAGGACATTTATTGTCATTTAGATGATGACATAGTTGATGTACGATGGAGAAGTATATAATACACATATTGAAGATGTTTTTAAGGTAAAGCTTTTGTTAAATTGTTGTGTTTTTAGGCTAAAAATGGCTATTTTGAGGTCAAGATGCCTATGTTAATATAGGGAAACATCTGTAATTTTATGTAATCAAAAACATGAAAATTAAAGCAAATCAAGACAAAGATCCCTAAAACAATATAAATTTCAACTAAAGCAATAAAGCTATCCCAAATAAAACCAACAAATTTAATTTTAAATTTTATTTCACATAAAATACCTCTCAGTATAACGTGCAAATTTACAATGGAGTTGTTGAACTCGATTGGAATATATTAATTAAGTTGTACAAAATTACCCAACAATAGTTAAATGGAAAGATCAGCGAGAGTTTGTACAAAATACAACGTAGTTTGTGGTTGTGTACCATGGAAATGATTTATGTTGTTTGTAAAGGCTTGAAAATGTTTTTTACAGTATGTAGGTTAGAAAATGACATATTTCATCACTGTATTATCACAAGGGCAATTGAAAGTGATATTATGTTACATATCAGGCTGATAGTAAGGATAAGTTTAATATTATCCTTGATGTCAGGCTGATGTGCTAGTATTGAATGTGCTCAGCATGTTGATAGTACTGAACATAACGTGTTAGTTATGTTGTAATAGCAACATACTTGTTCGTGATGTTGTAGCAACTTATCAATTACTATAACTCACTACTATAACATGTTGAACAGGAAATTTTTGACCTTTTTATGGTGTCCATCTTGTTTAACATGCTACAGAAGATCATATTTAACCTGTTTTGACCCAAAAAGTAATGCAAATCAGGTTCTAATGGTACACTTCACAATGATATTGTAAAAACTGTTATTAAACATGTACGAAACCGGATACAATGTGATACACATTACAAGTTACGGAAGTTATGTACATAAATTGTAGAATAAAATACGATTATGTACATAATATCCTAAGAACAAGGGTTATTCTTGGTTATGAAGTTGTAATAATGTACATATTGGTGAATATATGGTTGGGTAGATCAATTAATCATGTCATTTTGAGGGGTAAAATACGTGGTTTTGGTTTTTTTAGTTTAAAAAAGATGCTATTAACATAATATATTGCTTAAAAATATAAAAATGGCTTTGACAACGTATTTTACATTTTCAATACCCTAAAAATGGCATTATCAGCCTTCAAAATAGCATTACTATCCCCCAAAATGACATTTTAAATGGATCCAAGCCACCAAAACGGTGTTATACATGTTGACTTCTTGATGAACGACCTAACAATGAACAATATAAGAATTAGCAGCTAATTTCGAACTATTGGTTTTGCTTAAGTTAAGGCTTTAGTTATAGTGAGCCGGTGTCGCTTTCCGTGGGCGCAGCCGAGTCGTAGACTTCGTCGCTGTCGCGGATTTCGTTCTGTAGGCAACAGATTGGAGTGTCCAAGGTGCCGGCTCCGCAATCGCAGAAGAATCTGAAGATTTGAAACGGTTAGGGGATGTGTTGAGATTTTTAGGTTAGGGGTGATTTTAAAAAAATTTTTTTAACCTACTCTACTCTTCCCTAAGTCAAGGATAGGGCAGAATAGTGTAGGGTAGGGTAAGGGAGTTAAGGGTAGGGTTAAGGAGGGTAGAATAGAGTAGGATACGATAGCGTAGGCTGGCTATTTCAAAACTAAGATTAGTAATATTGTACTGACCTGTCATGTCGCACAAACTCGACTTGATGTCCAGCATGACAGTGTTTGATGCAGTTGACGCAAATGGCGTTTCTATCGGTTGTGTTACAAGTGATACATCTGAAAAATTCAAAAATTATCATTATAGTCCTATATAACTTAGAAAAGCTTATATAGTATAACATAGTAACAGATATAACGTAGTAATTCTAGCACCCTTTATCTAAAGCAAAACAAATTCAAAGGTAATATGCTTACTTGTAAAAGTCGTGCATAGGGAAGCTAGTACACGAGCTGATTTTGAATAAACAGTGGCCCGAGTTCACGGCACGTTCCACTGAGTTGGCGTTGTCTTGAACACGGTTGTCGCGAAGAATTGGGTTCACATCAGTGGCTGTGCAAATACCTACAAAGGTATTTGATTACTTTTTCGAAGTTTACTTCTTATTGGTTAAAAAAGTTGTAGGTATAGTAAGGGTAGTTTAGCGTTAGGCTTTAAAAGTTGTGGTATCTTTGACTAATTTAAAATTTATATTATGATAAGTAAAATAAGGCTATTATGCCTTCTTTAGTTGTTATTCTCTTTGTCATAAGACGCTTAGAAAGCCTAATCTAATATAATGAGTAGTTCCTACCTCCAAACTTGTTGTTATAGACGTAATTTTGCTCCAAAGTAGCAGTAGCTCCAGTAGTAATTTCGATGCCAGCGGCTCTACCATCAAACACCTTATTCCTCCTCATTGTTGGGTTGCTTTCCGATGATATAAGAACTCCAGCTTGAGCGTTTCGGAAGATCTCGTTGTCTTCTAGCACTCCCTTGCCTCTGCTGAAGATGCAAACACCTCCATCTCGGCCGTCAAAGATTTTATTCCTTCGTAGGATTGGATTCGAGTCCATTTTGATCCAAACTCCAGCCATAGCATTGTCGAAGATCTCGTTATCTTCTAGTACTCCGGCTCCATTGTTATAGACCAGTACTCCGCCATTAGCACCACCCCAGATTTTGTTTCTGGTTATCTTGGGGTTTGATCCGGATCGAATTTGTACTCCTGAGTACGAGTGATTGAAAATGTCATTCTCTTCTAGTAGTCCATGGCCGTTGTCGTAGAAGTAGACGCCGACTTGTCGACCACTGTGAATCCGGTTCCGGCGCATAATGGGCGATGACCCAGTTGTTACCCAAATACCTGCCAAAGTGTTTTGGTAAACCTCGTTCTCTTCGATCAGTCCCTTTCCCTTCTCGTGCACATAGATGCCACCGTGCATGCCATCGTGAATCTTGTTCAGCCTTACGATGGGGTCGGAATTCGTGCGAATCTGAATGCCGGCTAAAGCATTGCCAAAGATGTTGTTCTGCTCGATCAAGCCACGTCCTTCACTGAAAATGTAGACGCCGCCTTGGCTACCGTGGAAGATTTCATTGCGGCGGATCGTCGGGTCCGATAACGATGTGATCCAGATTCCGGCGAAAGCGTTGGCGTAGATTCTGTTCTCCATGAATTGGCCTCGACCCTTCTCGTGAACATAGATGCCACCAGTGTTGCCGTGGTGAATTTCACAGCGTATTACGGTAGGATTGGCGTGCAGTTTGACTTCAATTCCACTGATCTTGTTTTCGTAGATATTGCAACGTTCAAAGTAGCCGTTACCGTGCTCAAACGTGAACACACCCACGTCTTTGCCATTGTGAATATCACAGCGGCGGAAGGTGGGATGGGCGTGAGTTTTCACCCAAATACCAGCCAATTGATTGCGAGCAATGTCACAGTCTTCGAACACACCCTGAGCATAGTCGCTGATGTAGATACCAACGTTCCTACAGTCGGTTACCGAGCAGTTTCGTACTCTTGGGTTGGCACGAGCTCTACGCACACACATGGCAGCTCCAAGCTCAGATGAAGATCTTATCGTACAATGCTCGATCATTGGTGTAGCATCGTCGCTCACCAACAACGCGTAGTGTTGAGCATGTGGGTTTGGACATTGTTGATGTGGTTTGAAGATAATATTCATGTACCCGAGGTAGGAGTTGTTTGATCCATCGGTAAAGGCTACTGTAGTATCTACCGAGTTCATTATGGTAACCTTGTCTCTTACCAAAGGCCCAGCACTAGCTCCAATCATTTGAACTTTGTTGCTGATGTGAACGGTCGAATCAATATAATACTCGCCAGCGTGCAGGAAGATCAGCTTTTCATGGTCGGGCCGTGCCTCAACGTACTTCAAAGCACCATCGATCGTTTCGAAGTGGGCAATCTTTCTCCGGGCTAGCCGATCGCCCATTCCAGGCCAAACGTGTACGCCATGTTTGAGTTGGAGATAGCTGTCACGCCACGGATTGGGCCGACGGCTCTGTTTCGGATCTCTGAATTCGAATTTCGAGTGTGCTGGGTGGTGTAGCGGTTGAGTGTACTCGAACACATCCAAGTACTTGCGACGCCACAGCTCTGGATCGCCGGCTACACGATTGAAACGATGGCAAACTTGGGCACAGCGAGCTAAGTCGTCTTCGTAGAGATAATCGAAGATCTTTGACACCACTTCGTACGGTATCCGACTGATGTAGCTGCTACTGTAGTTCTGGTTGTCTTCGGTATGAGTGCCGTTGCACGCTTCTCCAGGCGAATCTGCTTTCATGATCTTGGCCGAAGGCTTGTAAAGTTGTTCATCACCAGTCGAAGCCATCATGCTAGGACAGTCCGGGTTGTCAGTCTTCAACGATCTTCTGCGACGAACTCCGCGACGTCTGATGTTGTTCATGTCGATGACTTCATCGAGGATTGGGGCCACGTCCCCAACTGAGTTACTGGGCCCGGCTGAGCTGGTTGACGAAGCTGATGAGGCTGGAGCTTGATCAGTGCCATTTGTGGTTAGGTAGAGTTGTAGGCCGTACATTGAGGCCTCTTGCGAGTCTTCAATGTCACCGCCCATTTCGATCGGTTTGTGGTCGTATTTTGGAAGGTTGGTCGATTCTGCTAATAGGTATGAATGTTGATGTAGCTGTTGATAGCTAGTAGGTATAGTATAAGGTAGATAGTACACCGATGGATTATATTAATGGTGCTATAACTGTAGTAAAGATGGTACCAGTTTGTGATGAAGTGAAAGCAACGTTGTAATACCCAAATTTGTTGATGTTAAAGCCGTTCAAGAAGTAAAAGACACTTTTGGGTTACTGTAGAATGAAGTTACAGTAACTTTTCACGGGTTCCTAAAAAGATTTTTTTACAGTAAGAAAAAGGTTGTTGCAGTAAGAAAAATGTTGTTACAGTAAGAAAAAGGCCGTTACAGTAAGAAAAATGAAGTTACTGTAAGAAAAATGAAGCTACAGTATGAAAATTACAGTAACCGGTGATAGTAAAAAACGTGATGTAGCTTATGACTATAGATGTTATTTCTTACAGTTATCTACGCTACAGTAAAGTCAAAATAAAAAATTGACAGTAGAAAAACTTACAGTAACCGTCGGTTGTAGAAACCGTGCCAATTCAAGCTGAAGTGAATGCGTGTAGCCCAAGTCAGAGCACGAGGTCTGACAACGTTTGCGAGTGTTTGGCGACTTTTCAGTCTGCCCTAAGGCCCTGCAAATTTAAAAATTGTTCTTGAAATTTCAAAAAAATTTTAAAAGTAAAATACGCGAACAATTTCATCTTCTGTGGTGATAACAATGAGAGTTATATCAACCAAAATTAATATACTAGATTGTAAGTATTGATATCGATGTAGGTATTTAAACAAAAATAATATAATAGGTTGTTCAGATAATTCTGTGCCCTCTAAATTCGAAAATTTGTCTTGAGTGGGGGCACAGAATTAATTGAACAACTTAATAGTAATTACCAAATATATTATACTAGGTTGTACAAATAATTCTGTGCCAACTAAGTCGTAAAATTTGCTTTGATTAAGGGCACAGAATTACTTGAACAACCTAATACATAATTTTTGGTTAATATAAATCTCGGTATAAGCAACACAAACGCTCATTATCATTAACATAACTCGTAAAATAGCAGGTTGTCCGAGGTTGAACCAAAATTAGCGGGACATTTTTCATTTATTTTTCGCTTAAAAGTGTTACTTTTGGATCAGCCTAATATCAGGTGCCGACATAAAGAACCCGCCATAGTTTTCATGTAGTAAAAAATGGCGGGTTCTTTATGTCGGCACCTAATATAACAAATAAATAAAACATATTGCGAAAGAATAGTTAAAACATATCACGTAGGAGTATATTTGCCAAACTACCATGTAAAAAATATTATAATTGAGTTGGTTTGAGAGCCGGTAATGAGGTACACGTGAACAACAACGTCGGTGTGTCATTACTTTTGGGATTTTGAAATTGAAATTTCGAAAAAAAAATTTTTTTGTTGGAAGGAAATATAGGAAAATACTAGAGCTTTTGCAACATATTACACTAGAAATGGCATTTCCTGCAACATGTTATACTAGAAATGGCAGGTTTTGCCCTCAATAAGGAAGAAACGTTTTTAAGGTTTAGGTAATAAAAGTAATAAGAAAAATAAAAAAGAAATGGATATCTGCTTTATATTGTAGTAGACTACTTGTTGTCTTTGTAGTTCGAACTTTACTAACATATATCTATGATAACTGCTTTATGTTGTAGTAGACTACTTATAAGCTTTGCATTTTTAATTTTACTAGTTAGCACCCGTACATTGTAGTACATTACTACAACTGTCTCTAGCTCTAGCTTTAGCCTTAACTTTAGCCCCAGCTCTAGCCCTAACTCTAGCTTTAGCCCTAGATCTAGCCCCAGCTCTAGCCCTAACTCTAGCTTTAGCCCTAGCTTTAGCCCTAACTCTAGCCCTCAATTTAGCCCTAACTCTAGCCCTAGCTCCAGCCATAGAGTATATTGTAGCAGACTACTACAATATACGAGCTACAACAATAAAGAGATGATAGAATGTAGCTACAATTGCTTTTGACAAAGATACGATGACTTTTGGCCAAATTATAGCAAAAGAATGGGTACAAAAATGCAAAATATACTCTGAGAATGGAGTAAAGTACAATGTTAATGATGATAAATATACAGTAAACTCTGTTGGTGGGGAAAAAATGTACAGTAAACCCTGTTAATGAGGAACAAATATACAGTAAACTGTGCTTATAACGAAAAACTATACAGTAACCAACTTTTATAAAAAAAAATAAGTAAGCTCTGCTGATGAAAAATATACAGTAACTTCTTTTAAACAAAAAAATACAGTAAGATGTGTTCATGAGATAAAAAAGATCCGGTAATGACCATCACCATAATATACTACTGTTCATGAACAGTTTACTTCTGTCTTAACTATAACGAACGTTATGCGACATTGTATTCCATATGGGATAGGGTAATGTACTGTAAGACAAAAATAAAAAACAAGGAAATGAACAAGTTAAAAAAAGTTATTATACTTTTGAGACAAAAAAGGCCATACAGACTACTAAAAAACAATAACAATCGAATGCCCAGAGGAGTAACCCGGACAAAATGACTCGGGTTATGACAAAACAAGTTACTTTATAAGCTGTTACTGGGATTGTACTATAGTAACTTCTTGGTATAGGCAGTTGTTATATGAAACTGCTTGTTGTAGGCGGAAGGATGGTTTTGGTGTAAGATATGGTAGGGAAAAGGTAGGGTAGGGTAAGATATTGATATGACAGGGTATGATTAAAGTAAGACATGGCTATGGGAAAGTAGGGGTAGGGCATAACTAGGTTAGGGAAAGGTTTAAGGTATGACTATGGCAAGATCTGGCTATGTTAAGGTAGTAATAGGGTAAGGCTAGGGTAGAGTTAAGCTAGGGTAGGGTAAGATTAGGTGTGTTGCTAAGAAGTTACAGCTGTACCTTATCTAACACTACCCTACATTACCCTACCTACTCTACTCTACCTTACCCTACCCTACTAGGCTTACCTCAGCCTAACTCTGGGACCACTTTCATCTTACCTTATCCTTATTCTAGCCTTACCCTAGTCTCATCAAAACTCTTTTCTGTCTAAACATAGCCCAGTTTAACCATGGCCCAGGCTAGCTTTAACTAACTTAACCGTAGCTCAGCTTAACCACAGCCCAACCTATCCCTACGCCACCTTCACAACCGCACTACCCACACTCATTCCCTATTACAACGATTATAATATTGAAAAAAAGTCTAGAATAATTCCAAGTGTTACCTAATTATCTCAAAAAGTTCTGGAACACGATTACATAATTGTAAAACTAGCTTATAATCCGAGTAGTTAAAGACCACAAAAGTTCAACAGATTTGCTAACAACCGTAATACTATTTCTCAACAAAGTTTGGAGGGTGTTTGACCCTGGAGCAGGGTAAGAAAGCTTCTAGAAGGTCTTGAAGAAGGTAAGAAATCTTCTTCAAGACCTTGAAGAAGGTACGAAGGCTTCCAGAAGACTTTTAAGAAGGTAAGACATCTAGTATAAGACCCTTTAAGAAGGTACAAAAGCTTCTATTAAGTTGTTCAAATAATTCCGTGCTCCACCTCAAAGCAAGCTTTTGTGGTTAGGGGACACAGAATTATTTGAACAACCTAATCAAAGACTTAAAAAGGTAAGAAGGCTTCTAGAAGGCCCTGAAGAAGGTACCAAGTCTTCTAGAAACCTTCAAGAAGGTAATGCAGCTTTTACAAAGCTCTAAATAAGGTACCAAGACTTCTAAAAGACTCGAAAAAAGATGATACAGCTCTTATAAGACCCTGAAGAAGGTACGAAATCATCTATAACTTGTTGTAATCGCACGAAAAGTAAAGTAAACGGATACTTTGATAGACTAAGACCTTATAATAACATAATTGACTATAGAAAACTAATTTTTTAATCAATACTTGAACAAACAATATTGTTATAGGCAACATATAAGCTTTTTCTACTCAAAAACGGCCTAAAAATTCATTTTAAAAGCCAAAAATTGAGAAAAATCGACTAAAAAAGGCCATTTTCTAACTTTCAAAAGGTGTTTTAAGGCCATTTTTGATTAAAGTTTTAGGTTTTAGGGCCTTTTTTAGGTAACAAATAAACCGAAAGTTACTTTTTTAGCTATGAAAGGTTTAAAAAGTAATTTTGAAATTAGAAAAATGAAAAAAAATTAGCCTTTAAACCTTAAATTTCAAAGAAAAATGAATTTTTTTCTCTCCAAAACCCCCTTAAAATCCCCTTTTCCTCCACAATTCCAAGCCAAAACCCCTTCTCCCCCAACCTTATTTGGCCGATTCCAAGACACATTGCCATATTATGTTCCATATTGTAACCGATATACCATTCCCAGATGTATTGCGGAGTTTGGAAACGCAAGAATAACACAAAAAGTATGGGCAATGCGGAAGTTTTAATAGAAATTTGAGAGGCGAGCAGAAAAGAGCCCTCTCTTTCTCTCGCACCCTCTTCTCGTGTTGGCCTCTGCCCCCCCCTTTGAAAAGAGAAGAAGGGAACACAACCTTGAATTACATCAAAATATATTTCGCATTTTAACCGAGTTGCGTAATACAAATTAGAAATAGGGGGTGGGGTTATTTATGTGAAATTTTTGGGATTTTCAAAAGAAAATAGCTAGTTCATTGCCTTAGGCTTGCTATAAATAGGTGTAGTCTTGATATTTGTATCTTTATTACTTAACTTTCGTTAACTTCGCCAGAGGGCTGGTCCAGCTAAAGGGTAAAGCAGGGGTAAATTTGGCTTTGACTTGAGCAAAATTCAGGCGGGCTCGGCTGGGTTTTAAGGATGGGCCGGGCCAAAGAAAAATTTTAAGATGGCCGGACCGGCAGTATTCGACACGCAGACTGGGACCAAAAACCGGCCCGAGCCCTAATCCTAGCTATAGTCCAGAGCCCTAGCCCAGAGCCCTAGCTTTAGCTTCTGCCTTAACCCAGCCCTGACAAGAAGCCACGGCCCGGATCCC